AATGTTTTCCTTTACACAGTCAGCCCCAAATTATCTCGAACTGACCTTGATCTTGACCCTCAAGGAGATCGAGATCATTGACCTTTTCCGTCGCTTTTCTCATTATTCATAAAAAAATTGTGAACAGAACAATTTTTATGAATAGTACGTAATTTTCAAACACATCGGTAGTATAGAGGAGCATAAGAGAGACCGTGTAAGTGAGGCTAGAATAAGATTTTCTGCTTCAATTATACAAATTCTCAGCTTCGGAACAAATTCTCTGCTTTAAAACACAAATTCTTCTGCTTTAAAAATACAAATTTTTTTGTTTTAAAACAAAATTTGCTTTAAAGCAGAAAATTTGCTTTTTAAAGTAAAAAATTTGTTTTAAAGTAGACAATTTGTGTTTTAGAGTAGAGAATTTGTTTTTGAAGTCTCCTTAAAATCAAGAGGCGTACGACTTTCCACGGGAAGTGAGGTCTACCCCCGAGGCCTGCCCCTGTGTCAAAGGAAAATATGCTGAAACATGTACCTTATGTTTAAAAATTGTATGTTATTCATAAAAATTGTTCTGTTTATAACTTTTTCATGAATAACGAACGACGAAAAAAATCAATGATCTTGATCTCCTTCAGGATCAAAAGATCAAGATCAAGATTAGTTGGAGGTCATTTGGGGCCGACTGTGTAAAGGTAAACATTTATCAAAAAAATGTATTTCAATGATCAATATACAATAATTAAGTGTCACTTCCGAGATGAGAGCTAGGCCATGGTTTTATTTTGTTTTTAATTTTATGTAACGTAAAGTATTCACGATTCGAAATTGACTTATATAGTACAGAAGTGTGTAAATAAGCTACAAGTTTCTGTTAATATTTCCATCATCACGTAGGTTACACAGGATGGGATTGTACAGATATTTCAAATACCATTCCTGCTATTTCTCTTATGAGCACTATACTGCTCATCACGAGCAATGTTTTTTTCATACCAGCTGTATACGTAGCCGTAAAACGAAAGTTGTACGCCGAAGGACTGGTGTATTTGGTTACGATGCTGTTCTCGTCTCTGTATCACGCTTGTGATGAAAATGGTCGATTTTGCATTACGAAGTACGAGGTATATGCTTTCGAATCTTTCTTTCTCTTGTTTTTAGATATCCTACTTTTAAGAGTAATTGTACTCTAGTCTAGAAAAATAAAATTCTAATATGATATTAAATTTCATTAAAAATGAAAGAAAGCAATTAGTTCAATTATCTTTAATGAATAATAATAAAAAGAAGTTTACCTCTCTTTCATGATATGCACACACATATTTTATAATCGAAAATGAATGAATTTCAACTGAATTATTAAAATTTACATCTTCATACTTTCAGTACATTATATTTATAAGATAATATATTTATTTGATACAGATCTTACAATACATGGATTTTTTTTCGAGTATTTTGGCATTTTGGATGACATTGATAGCAATGGCAGAATTACCAAACACTATTGTACCATTATGCCATATGACAGGAGTGTTCGTCATCAGTTTTGGAGTGCAGATAAACAGGATGTGTTTAATCAGTATATTGATACCGCTGTCATTGGGTATCATTATACCGGTAATCTAGAATGACTTTCTTTAATCTGATTAATCGGATGGTTCTGCACCAAAGGAAAAATGTTAATGAATGAATAAATAAGGATAAATAATTTTAAATATAAGTAGAGATAATTTTTCGTAATGAAATATAGAGAACATGATCAAAATTCACGATCAGAAATAACTAAATTGCTGCATCAAGAATTAATAAGAAAATAGCAAATTCTGTTATAGGTTTTCAGACATACCTATCGTACCTTTCAATCCAGAAAATGCAAGAAGCCAAGCCGAAAGATACTACTAGGTTTACTCTTTGCTATTACAGGTTTATTACTGTATTCTTTCATTGAAACGGAGAAAAATTATCAAGTACGTATGTTTATGCGTGTGTGCGTGTGTGCGCACACAACATGTGTATATTTTATAAATTTTACTGCCTCAAAGAATTACATATCATAAATAAATATTTTTTTTGTGAACATTTTGAAGAAATGTTAAAAAACAGCTCTATAATCTCCATACCATTGTCAACTGTATCTCACGTTATATCGAATTTAAAAAAAAATAAAAATTTTTAAACTTTTAATTTCATAAGTGGTAAAAGATTTTGAGAAGATGCATTTTTATTGTAGAATTTACATTTTCTTTTATGAGTGTTGTGGCTAAAATGGATTTTGTTATTAAATCATGGATACATATTGTCTTCTTTTAAGAGTCTTATTATTTCTTGTTTATTTATTTTGTTGCAGTATGTGCACAGTGTTTGGCACATTATCATGGCAATATCGTTAATATTCTTGTTACCATCAGAAAAATTAAAGCAAACTACATCATCGATAAATGCTTTATTCGATGATGATAGTGAATCGTGGAGTTGCAAAGAATTTTACAGGATCCCTACATTTACAATAATCGATCAGGAAAATGGAACAATCGCGTCAAATTGAATATATTTATTATAAAAATCAGTTTCCAAGTTTTCTTTTTCTTCTCTTTCCTCCTTCCCTCCCCTCCCCTCCCCATCTCTTCTTTCACCTCTCTCTTTTATCTTTAATTATTATATACATATATACATTGTATACATATACACATACACACACACACACACATACATATATATTTATTTATTTATGTAATTGTATGTGTGTGCGTATGTGTGTTTTATAGAAATAAAAGTACATTACGTACCCCCCTACATAACACGTCTATTTCAAATAAACACTTTTTCAATATGTACCAATCATTAGTACATTTCTATACCTAACATTTTTATCCGACTATTATAATTACGTACTGAATTAACAAAATTTCGTTATAGAGGTGTCAAAGGGTTTACGAGTTTGATTAGCGCCGTGTCGTGATCTGTTACTAACGTTTTGTGAACCTTACTGTTCAAAGAGTCTATTTTTTGTGTATGAGAGCTAAACTAGTGTACGAGAGTTGTTAGAAAAATTTTGAGCCTATGGACGCGCGATGTAAGTCGAAACATTCGTATGTATTCATAAAAGAAAATGAGAAGCCATGTAAAAAAATTACTTAAATGTAAATATTATATATGAATAGATATACGTTAATGTCAACTGCGGTTGCTCTCAACTGCCCTTATTATTTCACACGACAATTTTATTGAACTTGAGAGTCCCAAATGTTAAATTAAAACTTGGTAATTGTATTATTTTATATGAAAGTTAACAGCCTTAAAAATTTAACTTGGTTAAGATACATAAGTTAATTCATAATTAAATTAATTAAATTAGAAGTTTTAAATTAAAATTAATCAACTTTTTAACTTGGCATTGCCCTGTTACAACAGGGGACAACCTTATACTTATAGGTATTATAGGTAATCAAGGAATAATTTTTATCTCCATCGCAATAGTAATATTAATAAGTAAAGAAGAAACTACCTAATCTTTATATGCGGCTATTACTTACACTTGACTAAATTGACTTAATAAATTAAAGAAAGTTACAAATAAATTTAATGGAAAGATATCACGTAGTTACCGTACGTAACTGAAGAATTCAAATTCACATCATGGCCATCCACGTACGATATGGTTGTCCTCCTTTAGGTCGAAATAATATAAGTATGCAGCTTGTAAGTACCTATATAACATAAAGCAACTTTTTATTGTACGTCAGACACGCAGATCAAGATCGGGCTTGATCTTCAATACGTAATTCGACACCGGTTTAACTTGCTACTTCCTGTGTCTTATCGTCTGGCCCTCCCCCCTCCGGGCCCGATCCCCCTTGTGTTATCTTCCCTTCTTGCAGGCTTTTACGTCTCTCTACACTCTACAATCTACATACACTATTCTCTAACATTCACTATTCTCATTTCCTCTTTCGTTGTCGGCCACTCGGTTAAGTTCAATAGGATAGGATGGACAAGCGTTTCAATGACGTGATTGTGATATGTATATATGTACATACGATTGAATCTATAATAAAATTTATTTCTCTCTTTACATCTCGCAGTACATTTTTCCCTCCGAATGTAAACCATACTTCTTTCCGACAGATTTTTCATCTAGAAAGGAATTTTTTAGATAAAACACTACTCTCGCTAGAAATAGAAATCTTCTACTTGTTGTTCAAAGTTAATGGCACTCGCCGATAAGATGACGGTGATTCTGGCCAGTATAAGTATATCGTAGATAAATTGTAAAATTGGAATGCAGTGCAGCGGTAAATAGAAGAAAAGAATGATGCAATCAAAACAAAATGGCAAAGCGTCAGTGCCAGTATCGCAGCCAATACGGTGGCAAGATTTTAATTTAGCTAGCAATCCACAGCAGGAAAACGGGCAACGTATATTAAACACAGTTTCAAAATCATGCTTTAAAGATCTTGGCTGCGTTCAGCGGACTCAACAGTTGACAGGTGTTGAGTCCGCTGAACGCGGCCCATGATAAAGATATATCGAGTACGGACAAGTAAAATAAACACGCGCAAAAATTCTCGTGATAATATCACACATTTGTGTGACAAGTCCCCATAATCTCATCCCTTTTTCTAATTCTTATCGTTTCGATTCAAACCTGATTCGATCACCGCTCTTTAAAGCCCTTAATGAAGGCTGTGTTTCAAAACATTTTCACTGCTGAAAATGTGTAATACACGTAACGTAAACTGTAGATTTTTAGCGCTAGCGGTGAATTTTGGAATATAGCCTAATAATATAATATGAAAACTGAATACATATCATTTTCGCGTGGCGCGGTTCGAGGGCCATCAATTGATCAATGCTGAGTCAGCTGACTTAGTCGCTCATCGCTAACCGATTCGCGGAATCGCGACTTGCGAATTGCGACGGAGGCGGCGGCATAGCGCCTAGCGGTAAGCGGCGGCGATATAGCGACGGTAGCGACTGCAGACTGATAGCGACGGCTGTCGACGGTGGTCGCCGGTCGCGCTGCATTTACGTTTTAGTAACCGTCAATCGTCGTGAAGGAAGGCTCGACCAGTATAAGTGATCGGTGATTCGTGTGCCAGCTCTTTCTCTTTTTCGCTCGCTGCTATCTGTGTGCGCTCTTTCTCTCCTTCCTCTCGATCTCTGCTCGTTTTTAATGGTGCGTTTGCGAATCGCGCCGAAACTCGAATGTTAGTTTGATACATTTCGGTGAGTTTCGAAACGTTCCGTTACGTTATGTACGTATATGAAATAGGCGATTTTTTCTTTTTTCTTTTTTCTTTTTTTTTTCGAAAAATCGTAAAGGTCATTTTTTTCCCATCGTCGTACGATAAATGCATCAAGATAACTCGTGATTTTTCCGAGCACGTGCGAAAATGTGTCTCATTACGCGCGTTTAAAAGGGGTCATTTTCATGGGATAATAACAATCGAAATTTGAATCGATATTCTACCGATTGGATTCCGGAACTGTTGAATGACTCCTTAATTTGGTGCACCTCACGACGTAGTCCAACGCCTCGTACGTGCTCGACGCGTCGCGAGAAACCAGAGTATCTTGTGTTTTATATATATATATAAACACACACACACACACACACACTTGTGTTACAGCTCGCCCTTCGTATTAATTTAATTTCACATTGTCCGTTTGTTGCTCTCGTGATCATATATCCCGGAGGTGAGAAGTGAGAGGTGTATCCGGAGGATGGCGAACTTGAAGGTGCGTGTCGATTCGCCAAAGGTGCGTTACTCGGAGGATTTCATCGAGGCCGAGTACGAGTATCGGACGATTAACGTAATCGAGGAGGACGAGAACGATCGCGATACTTACACGGTGAGAATTTGTTCATCGATCCGTTGCGTTCGTCCAGAGTTGTCTCGAGTGTGTCACTAGTGCTCTGTAATGTTCGCATCGCCCGGCTCAGCCCGGCCCGGCGCCCGATATGCCCGGCTGGTCGATATCGGGGGTAGTCTGCTTGTCAAGGCTCAAGCTATGCTCTCTTATCTGTAAGAAACAATCGACGAAACTTTCTCGTTGTAACAGTTTAACAGTCCTTTTATTACATTTGTGCGCGCGCGCGCACACACACACACACACACAAAATTGTACATGATACTGGACAATGAAATTACAATGAAAAGGATTCTTTTCAATAATAAATTTCATTTTGCTTCTACAAAATTTTTATGTAAAATTTAATATCATGAAGATGTACAAAAATAATTTGAAAATTGTTATAAACAACCACAATTTTCCAAATTCGCTTTCGTGGAAGAGTAAAGTAATAAATATATATTACACCACAAATTGGAATCTATACAAGTTAAAAGGACATAAGATCTGTTCTTTTTAGCTAAAATTTTTGCACGGTTCATCTTCCTTTTCTCTCCATATTAAA